CGTGTTCAGTGCTTTCAGATCAAGTATTTTTTTCCCATTTTTCGGAAGAAAAACATGGCAGGAAAAGTCATGTGACTGCCTATGTATTTATTCATGAAAAGGGTAGCCAATATCAACAGTGCATCCCTTTTTTTCAATTGATATTGGTGTGTCTGTAAAGGCTTTCAAGCAGGCAATGTGGTATTAAAAACGAAAAAAACAGATTAGGATTAACTAAATTTAGATGTTCTGAACATTTCCTACCCGTTGAATGAGAAAGAAGGTATAGAAGTATTATTGGTGAGAATGGAAAATGGTAACACTACCATAATATTGCGATCATAGTGAGGATAAATAGTGTAGGAAAACATTTCTAACAGCTCTATTGGGCAGAAATATGTTTCCACCATATTGGATTTTGCAAAGGATTATGGGATGGAAATTGAGCCATAGAAGGCATGGGGGGGTCCTCATATCTTTTCCCTACAGCCCTGTGAACCTCTCCTTTTTTCAAGCAACTTTGTTATTTATTTTTTTTAATTATATGGTTATATTGTCGAGATTTATTTTTAGAGTTTTTACTGTCTTTATAACCTGTGTACAGAGAACCAATTTATTTTGATGGTGCTTTTTTTTAGCAATACTTATAAGATAAATATATTTATAGCTTCATGGTAAATTTTTCTAAATCCTCAATATATTTTTAATCTATTATTGTTATGATATTTTGTGTGTTTTATTTTACTTTACAAACTGTGTATGTTTGTGTACATTTACTATTTAATCACACTTTAATAGTTTGCACTGAATGTGTTAAATGTAATGTAAACTTCCTATACAAGGTGATACTATTAGGTTTATTAGGCGTGTAATAAGACCATTACCTGGCATATTAGACAGCATGAGTTTACAGGCACAGATTGCGGAGAAATAATTAAACACCAAACTGTCCTAAACAATAAGCATTTAAGGTATTCCCTTCAAATGCTTGTAGCTTAGCTTCTAGTGAGCATCGCAGAGTTTCTTCCTTGATTTCTTGTTACTGTAAAATGACTAATTTTCACAGGGTTAAAATTTCGCTGATTTACCATTTCAGGCATATTCAGTGGGTTTTAAATTCACGATTTTATTATTTAGACAATGTGCTCTATATGCTCAATTTCACATATTCACTGGGTTTTAATTTAGCGCATTTTCCAGTCAGCAAAATAAGCATAATTAAAACCCAGTGAATAATTAATCCTTTTACAGTACTGACAAGCACTGAAGCAAGGTTAACTATACATAATTGCATTCATAAACATATGGGCAAAGTAACTATGTTAAAATTGTTTCGTTCTATTTTGAGAAAACTGAAAGAATCTGTAGCAGTGACAATTCCACTAAAGGTCAACCCTGCTGTCATTGTAGATTACTCAAATTTCAAGTTCAAGTTTCAAGTAGTCAAGTTTCCGTTACATAATTATAATTGTTTATAATCCCCAAGATAAACGATGGTAACATCTTTGTTGATTTTATACATACAGAACATTGTTTTTTATTCATCTATTTAGTAAAATTACACATAGCATTAAATGTTTTGGTATTAACATCTAAGGCAGGTATTGACTGGCAACATTAGTTGAGTCATAGTTAACGACATACGTGTAGCCTGTATTCAGTTGAATTGACAATAGTGGACCACTATTAAGAATAGAACAATCTACTCATGAATCCAACGTCAACATTTTGTCGACTTTTTCATGGCTAGCAATGGTTAAAATGTCAGTGGGGAAGAAATTGATGCACAACTATGAAATCACCTTTATAACAAATTTGAACGCAATATAGTTAATATGCAAATATGTTCAATTAATGAAGGAAATTGCACTCATAGAACTAAGATGATTATTGTACCCTAAATTATTAATTTTTTTAACAAACTTCAAACATTTTGCTATTATCTTTCAAAAATGTTCAACTTTTTTGATTTTGATCAAATTCTGTAGACATTGTCAAATTCTGTCGTTTTTCTCAAAAATTAAAACCAAATTTAGAAAAAATTTGCAGCAGAAAATTTTATAAATACTTTCAATCAAAACATGACTGGCGATGTCAAATTCTGTCTGAACCAAAATTAATATTCAATTTAAAGAAATTTTGCAGAAAATAAAAGCAAAACTTTTGATATAGAAATATCAAATTAAAACTGTTCCAAAAATAATTTTGAATTTAGAAAAAAAAAAAAATCGCAGAAAAAATGAAAAAAATTCGATCAAAAGGTTACTTGAAATAAATCTATTGGGGTCAAGGGTCAAATATATTTGCATATCAGCTGTACTATAATTCTCCCTATCAGAAGTGCAGGTACCTGGTTCTAAATCAGAAAACATTAGGTGTAGTATATTCTATGCAGATTCACATGTTTAAATAAAATGTGGTTGCAATACAAAAAAAAAAAAATACATTTTCAACTTACAGGACTTCTCTTCTTCTGAGTGTAATTCTTCCATAGCAACAGCTGCAAATGTCTCCAAAAACTGACGGAATCCACACAGTCGTCCTCCGCATCCTTAGTCACCTCGTCCATGGATGGTTTACTATTTCAATCAGCGGTACTCTGTAATAAAAGAAATGTATCCTGGTTGTTATACATGATATCAATTGCATAATGCCAAGTGCGACTTTAGCAGACTTTATTAACTTCTACAAACCCACGATTCTGATTAGTTCTTACCCCAGAATTACAAAATACTATTTATCAAAATGAATTTTTAAAAATTTGAATATGCATCAGGGGGTAAATAAATAGGTGATAATGTGCGTCTGGCTAGGAAGATTCTAGTCAAACTGCTAACATCCCAGTTTTAAAACAAATAATGTAATATATAAGGTAGATCCAACAGATGAGACTAAAATATATCACGCAACACTTATATATTGACAATTTTACATAATCCACGGTAGTCCTATAATTAGAAACGATAAACAGAGGCTGAATTCTCAAAACATTTGGGAACATATATTTTTAACCTTCTCGCCACCAGACTTGCTCGCCAATTTTTTTCTGCACTTTTTTCATATATTCTTCAATATTTTTGGAAATGAACCCTAATTTTGGAGCCAGCAAACAAATGTTTCATTTTTTTTGTCCCAATCTTTTGAAGGAAAGTGCAGACTATAAACATAACTGTTTTGTAAATTTGTGATGAAAAGAGGGAACTGGCGATTAAACGGTTAAAATATGCAATTTACATTCTACCTGTGGAATTATTAACCAAGTTTATATATTTGTTAAAATATTATATTTACAGGTGTAGCTACTCACAAAAAACAGTAAAATTCAAACAATGTGATATTCAACTTTCATTCAATTTTTACATACAAATACCAATATCCAACAAAAAGCGAATCAGACTTTTTAAAAGTCAAAAACTTATTTTCATAACATATCTCCTTAAATTGTTAAGAGCATAGGAAAAACAGAAAAACATACATGATTACGTCACTGCTCCAAAAAAAAGAAATTTATACTTGAATTTACGGCTGGTTATAGGATGCATGTATCACATTACCTTCAAACTTGTTGGCGTGGAGAATAAAAAATAACTAGCTTAAGGGGTCAGTTTATGCAAATTACTTCCTGAAGTGAATTTGCATTGTTTTCTTACAACAGGTGTTTATATTGAGCCGCATTTAGCCTGCCTGGAGACAAAAATAATAATAAAAACTGAATAATAATAATTTTATAAAAACTAAATTAGCTGCAACACTGATATTATAGTTATTTTAAATTTTCTGAATAAATCGATGCATAATGGCAGAAATATACAAATAAAATAGTAAAAAACAGAAGGTCAGTCAGGGGATTGAATGAAAGATTTGTTCATAATCAATCCCATGTCCCATGTCAATCCCTCATTTTATGAGGGCCAGGGTATGCAGGACTATTCCATTCTAATTTGTAGGGTCCAGTATTCCACTGAAGGAAGGTGGGTTTCATATTTACAGTTTATGTAGTACACAAAAGTATGCATTCATTTCTCATTTGTAGATGCTATATGCGTTTAAGAACAACAGACTGAATTTTTAAATGAATAAAAAAAAAATAGGAGCAAAGTTAAAATTACCCCCTCCATCAGTTATGTCGCAACCTGCAAGTACTCTGCACTGATCAGTGATGACATAGCAAGTACATGTATACAAGTCATGAATTTGAAAGACTGTCCGAGAAGTTGTGAAAATTAACAAGCGACTTAGCAGTCAAAATAGTCCAACTGCCTTCCTCAAAAGAGAGTTTATGATGTTCTATACGATGAGATATTAACTATTTGCTAAGGTTATTCATGTTTCCACAATGTTCACAATGTTCATATCACAACCATACCATTAAGTTGGGCGTTGCCATGGCAATTACAATTGTTATCATCTTGTTACAAATCTCATGGAGGTCAACCCATGGTACCTACATACATAGGTATTAAAGTAGTTTTTAAGAAGTCGCAAATACCAGTAGCATTTTTTTTACCAAAAGCACAAAATATTCATCATCAAGTATCAAAGCAAATAAGCTGGTAGTTTCAAGAAAAAGTCGAAAATAAAATTTTTGTTACCAAACATGACAAACAAAGATTTTTTAGACAGAAAAGCAGAAAGTTAGATAAATATTGGGTGTATAACATCAACATCACCATGGTTCAGCTAAGAAATTACAAGAATGCTGATCACAAAGTCTGCGATACTACTAATATTAATAATTAGTTAATTATTAATTATAAAGAGACCAAGGCCAGACAAAAAATATTAATGTTTCTGGTCACCGTGCATGTCACTAACAAAACATGCACCGGGCTTTATTTTTTACTTTTTAAAAAAATTGAGAAAACATGCAAAAAATAATTTTGAAAAAGACACTAAATATGTTAAAAGAAACAAATATATGCACATCAAACTTTTTTTGCACCGAAATAGAATGCGTTTCCACATATTACTTACTGTATAATACCTTTGATTTGAGCTTACAGTATTCTACAGTAAGCTTATATACAGTGCATGCATATATAGAAGTGATTTAACTTAGCAGGTGTCTTGATGGTTGGTTGGCTGGCTGGCCGGATGGTTGGCTGGCTGGCTGGCTGTTCTTTTGTAGTGGTGACTTGACAAGTTTATGTGTTTGACTGTTTGTTTGTTTTGTATCAATCTCAAATGCCCCCCCCCCCCTTCTCAATAGATAACAATCTAAAGACACTGATGTGCAATATATCATTTGTACCCCAGAGTAACAGTATTGCAATGTTTTTTGCTCGGTGCACGTGGCTTTGTAACAGTCTTAGTATAGTCTTGTATAAACAGTCATTATTTTTATAAGTTTATCAAGTACTGTCGAGTAAGAACAGAAATCATGTCTTGCAGACTGTCAGAATACTATGGTAGTCTTAGCAGATATATAATTTGATAAATTTGCGATCTGTAGAGAAAAAAACTTCCATTTTGTCAGTAAAAATCCAAATGAATCAAGCCGAAAAAATAATCTATTTTCATTGTAGCAGCCAACCGAACATTTGATCCGGGATATGAAAGTCTTAACAAGGAAAATAAGCATCCTTGACTTGTGTTCAATATAATACACATAATGCACGTATGAAAACATCCACTCGTAAAAAATAAAGAGAGTCTTATATACAACTGTCTGGGTACTGACTTTGGCAGGATAAAAGCAAAATTATATAAATTAAAACTCTTCGAAAAAACTACATTGACCTTCACTTTGGTAAGTTTTGACTGAGGTCAGATAAATAAATTGTGTGGTTCAGATAACATGCACTTTAAAAACAGATATGAAAGGTCAGATTTTAAATTTAATTTTTTCTTCTTCATTGTATTTTTTTTGGCAAAATCTTTGTTTAATGATTTTCACGGTAAAGTCTTTCTAATTAGCCAACATTTAGGATAACAAATTCTGCACTTTCATCATTCAAGTCTTGTTGAAATCTTGTGTGATTTTGACACATCTTTCTTTATTTTTTTTATGTTTAGCCAAAAAAAGTTTAAGTAGGCAATAAATTTTAGATACATGTAGAATGAAGACCACACATATATTTTTATTTGACCTAGGTTATTTAATTTAATCTAGTTATAGCCATGGTTGTTAGTACAACATTGTTTTTTAATCAAATACAAACCTTTGCAAACAAGCATTATGAAAGTTACGAAAACTTTCAAATTCACATAGCAAATTAAAATATTCTACTGCAATAGTTAATTAGCATTTATTATAATTTTTGTTTAATGAGTAATAACAAAAATTTAACTTCTTTCTTTCTTTCTTTATTTTTTTATTTATTTATTTACAAATTTATTTATTTGATAATTCAATTACACGAGAATAATATTATAATTTAAAAACATAGTTTTTCAGATGTTTAATACCTTTCTGTGAGTGATGATGACATGTTTTTATTTTAAATGAATATATAAAATAATACGTGTAGTTGAATATAAAATTATATCGTCATTGGCAACGGGTTAACACACCCTTCCAGTGACCAAAAACAAACATATGGCCAGTATTATATGGCACTACCACGCCCAAACCATTAAATAAATCACACCATAGCTGATCAGACCACATACATGGGACACAGAAAGAACATTTAACTTTGACCCCAAAGTACAGCAGACAAAATAAATGTCGTTTATTACGACATTAGTTGGGGTTAGAGTGACACTAGCGTGCAGACAGACGACCTTTATTGACCTGACGCTTGTAAACAGATAACAATCAAGTCTGTGAGAGACACAAATAAATATTAATAACAATTTTCTCATAAATTACGTTAAATATTGTATCGCAACTGGGCTTCAGCTAACCTTCCATCAGTCGCCAATGGCAAATTAATTTACGATTCAGCTACCAAACATGTCATTTTTGACACCAATGGCTTAAAGACATTTAGAACCAAATACTATTCTGAGATAATAATCACCCACACACAAAAAAAAGAATTTAAACATCTGAAAAACTTATTGTCTATTTAAATAACTTGTGAAATATATTGTGATATATGCATTTATAATATATGTTATTCCCTCATCATTTGCCAAGTTGCGAAACACTTTGCTAGTTAGTGGGGAAAATAAACTTGCAGTACTCGCCACCAGAGCGAGAACTACTTTACTCTAAGCAGTAGCCTAGTATACGTGTTCACATGAATTATAATTTTACAAACTCGAACGCAAATTTGGCTTTTTCATGAAAATAGATAGCTAATAAGATGAATAAATCTTAAATTTAATTTGTAGTTGATTTAAACAGGGCTCTATGGCAGAACAAATATATTTTTTGGTATTAGACTATAAATAAGCACCGGTAAATGCAATATGAATAAAAAAAATATTGAACTTTTTTTTATGGTACTACTCCCCTCATTTCTGCTTACACGATACAGTTCTTTTTTGGTCTCCATTACATTTTACGAAACCATGGTCAGAATAAGTCTGACAAATAAACACTTGTGAAGCACATGAAATTCAATCTACAACAACGCTATCAAGCTACAAAGTCTTGTTTTCTAACCTCTTTATTTAAGT